TTTTCTCCGGGGGCCCCCCCCCCCCCCCCCCGCCCAAAAAAAGTGCTGGGAGGTGGGGCTGGACGAGGGATGGGCCTGGCCTGGGTGATTTGGAGATTCTGCAGCAGCCACATCTCAGAATCAGATTTGGCCGAATCAATTCAGGACAGTGATCTGAATCACTGTTCCCTGAATCGGCCAAATCCAAATTCGAAGCAAATACTAGCCACTTTGCACAGTCTTAATGCTTTGTTAATTTATGGATATTTACTTTTTATATTTACTGTAATGTGATTTTTATAAAGTGTTTAACAGTATATTGTCATTACTAAGTTGTTTGCCCCGCACATTCCTACTTCTCGCAATCCTCAAAATTTAAATTGGTAAAAGTTGATAAAACCAGATAGAAATGTTTAAAAATAAGCATTGATTTCTAGCTGTTGAAATTATAAAAAATAAAATAAAAATTGAATTCTGCAAAGCCTAAAAAGAATAGAGTAATTCTTCTGTTGCAAAGAACTCAGAAGTACTGCAGCAGGATAAAATATATTTAGCATTACAAATTCCTATTTGAATTCTTTGGGTTTATCTTGTAAATTGTGTTTGCTCACCCAACATCACCAACAACATGGCACCCTGCACCACCCTTGAAAGGATCTTAAAGCACCACCACACTACATGAGAATCACTGGCATTGGGTGAATCATAACTTGGTAGCTTTGGGTCTTAATCCCTTTTATTGATAGCAAAAAGAACATCTCTCTAGTGTCTTCCACCTGAAGATGATTAATTGAGTCTTTATTTTATTCTTTACAGTGTTTGAAAGGAAGTTGCACTGATTTGTTTCTAAAGTGCCTTGTGTGCATTACTTCTTTCTTCAGCACTTTTGGAAGTCATTCTTAAACTAAAGTTAGGCAGAGGGAAGGGCAGTGTTGTCTTTCATAGCTCTTTGATTTGGGATGAGGAGTGGTTTGGTTTGCAGAAGGTGTAGTAAATCTTTGCAGTGGTTATGGATAGCCTTTTCATAGCATCTGATGATTTAGGCTGTCGCCTACAGAAGCTCCTGCCTCTCTGAACAAGTTTGTCTATAATAGTGATTCTCAACCAAGGTACCCTGAAATCCTTTCAAGTGTGTTCCAGGGTCCTAGGTGTCCAACCATGATCCATAAGATAAACACACAGTTTTCACATAGGAATCCATAACTTTAAAAATGTTTTGATCTGTTGTGGTCTTTCTGACTTTTCTGACCAGAAGAATTATTCTTTTTTTTTGGTAGTAGTAGTAAAAAAAACAAGTGAAAAGTAAGCACTAGCATTTTCTGAGTCTTTTGAGGGGTCCCTTGAGCCTAAAAAAATTTGAGAACCAATTGTCTCTGAGTTATCGTACCATCCTGCCTTCTGCCTAATATATCATTACATTAGCCAGGGTGAAAGAATTAAAAAAAATGAAGCTCTATTGTTCTGAGGTTCATAGTTTATTCAAGTGGACATCTGGAAAATAAGCCCTTGACAACAAGCTAATCGTTCCCCCTTTTTTTTGACAAAGAGCAGTTTGGTTTGCAAAAGCATTGGTAATCTTTCCAGTGGTTATGAACAACACTAATTTTATATATATAGCGCACTCTCTCTCTCTCGATATCTATATATATAGATATATCTATAGAGAAATATCTGTATTAAATATATATATACTTTTGGGTGAGTCATGCTTTCAAGGGATTGAGTAAAAAGAAAAAGGAAATACAGAGCTTTTTCTACTAATTCCCCAAAACAAAGTAGGAAGTGCAGGAGTAACAGCTGTTGTTCATGTTATATTGCATTATTCCTATTGGTGCTTTGATAAGTGCTTTTTTAAGATGTGAAATTATTTGGTGTGGCACTTCTTGCTTTTTGAAGGTCACTTCTCCTTACCCAGAAGGTTTTGTTGATTTCTGGTCTTTGCATTCTAAACAATGCTGGTTTGTGTGGTGTTGTTGCTCTCCTGGCTGGCTTCATTTCCCTCCTTTGACAGATATCTGGCTTCTCTGTCTAGTTTGGGCAGCTGAACAATGTGGAGTTTTGACTAATTTTTTTGTTTCATATTTTTTTCAACAATTTGAAACAATTAAGCAGCATGAGAGTAAAAGTGGCTGAAGTGGCTACTTGACTGAGTCCTGTTTCCCAGGGGAGGAAGTGAAAGGACCTGCTAGTTCCCTTCAACCTCAAGTGTTCTCACTCTCCTTCTGCCACTGTTAACTCAAATCTGGGAAGTGGCTCTTGTAGGTGCATATGTTTTGAGGCCATTATGGTTCTTTTAAGTGAAAAAAATTCAGATATCTTGAAGTGCTAAGTGTATCCATCTTTGTCAATGTGTGGCCAAGAAGTGCTTGAGGTGAGCATCACCAGCCAGTGAATCTTTATTATTCTGTAACAGCTCTGTAGTGCTTTAGCCAATTCTGTTTTATCTGAGTCCACCACTTTGGGAACCAGCTTGGGGAAAGAGTCAGAGGGCAGGCCAGATAATAGTTTTGTGACTCAGTGTAGTTTTGGTCAGTAGAAGATAGTTTAGTGCTCCTGCTCATACTCATGTTGTGTCATGGCATGCAGCAGTGCAGATGTGAGGTTGTTCTTCTCTTCATTTGCTTTGACAGATGGGAATGACCCAAGCCCTCCTCTATGGTTCTCCAGTTTGGTTCCTGCTTTGCATGGTAACAAGGCTGCCTCCATGGCCACATTTAGTACCATTTTTCTCACTGACAGAAATTACCAGATTAAAAAAGAACACAAAAAATGCCGTTAGGGAGCCTGTTGCACTAGTGCTGCTCGCTTGGAGCCTTCAGCCTTCTAACTCTTTTAAGATGAAGAGGAGAGCCTCTGCTGCCATAGTGGAGAGAGTCAGGGGTGAAGCAATTTTTGGAGTTTTTTGACAAAACCTGCTGGTTAGCAAGCCTGATGGGGGAAGGTGACAGTCTATTCTTGAAGCAGCTGTGGAATGAGATAGGAGCTGAGGGGAGCATTAGGGCTGTGAAATACAAACCCGGGTCTTGTGCTGGAATTTAAGCTTTCCCAAAGAAAAGTCTTTCCTCAAACCAATCTGAGATTTGAAAGAAGAGGTACCTCAGGATTTGAAGGATGTTGATTGACCTATATGAGCACCTAGCCCCCTAGCTCAGACTTCCACTCTGCTGAGTCGAATACACGAAGGGCGTTAAACTCATCTGGTGCTGTGGGCTGGATGAGTAGTATGGGCCCACTGACCTCATGTGACATCCCCTTCGCTCCCCGCAGGCTGGATCCAGGGCACACAGCACCCACTCTGGCTGGTGCAGGATTGCACCAAACATGGTGCCTGTCTGGAACATACGCTACACAGTGCCCATGCCAGCTGGTCCAGGACCCATGCTGCATGTGGTGTCGTTTCTGGACTGGCTGGGGCAGGCGCTACATGCAGCATGGGTCCTGGACAGCTCACCACATGCAGCACAGTCCTGAACTAGCTGGAGTCAGCTTTGTGTGCCCTGCTGTCCTGGACTGGGCACCCTGTGCAGCATGGTTCATGTGCTGTGTGTGGATCAGCTCTGAGACCCCAGGGCCAGATGATGGGACTCTGTTGACCGTATCTTTGACACCCCTGAAATAGGCCAGCAAGCATCCCGGGTTTTGCTCCTTTTAATGCAAAACAAGAGGAGACACCTGAAAGAGTGGGAAAATCAAGATTGGTGATTTGGTCATTATTCTTTCAGTCAGAGGAGAGTCCAGCATCTGCAGTCTCCCAACTGATAGAGCAGAAAACAAATTAGCCAGGAAGCAAGAACATTCACATTGTTAGTGGAAGTGAAGGAATCTTAAAAGTGCACATATACTTCATTTATAATTTTTATCCTTTTAGTGGAATAATTTGTGGAAGTTCTCATATCTTTTTCAAGTAAGAATATTTGGAACGTTTTGTTGGAGAATAAAGGTGAAATCATATGCACTCTATTTTGATTTCTATGTTGTTTAGTATACCGGCTCATTAAATTCTGTTGAGCAGTGTTTAAGTCCTTTGATTTAACTTTTAATAGGAAAGATTGGTTAAGTGTAAACAACTAATAAATGCTTTCTATCACTTCTAGACGAGATAAGCTATGGATTTGCATGGAGTTCTGTGGAGGTGGTTCTTTACAGGACATTTATCATGGTAAGCCAAAATTCAGCTTCTGTCAACAATAAATAGAGTTTTCTTGAAACCATAGCTATTTACAGTAGGTTAAAATAGAAAAGTTTTAAAGTGAAAGGAATCGTATCTTAAGCCAAGTATATGTTATAGTCACTTAATGTCAGTTTTAGATTTTTATGTGTTGAAAATATTCTAGATTACCCAAACAACCAAAGTTACCTACAGATTTGTGGAAATGCAGTTGAGTGGGAAAGTATCATATATATTTTGATTTTTAATACTTAATAAAATTAAAGACTTTATATTGTAAATATAAAACAAAGAACATGCTTCTAGTTGTGCAGCTCTACAATATGTCCACTTTGCTTGTTAGTAAATATATTTTACATATGAGTACCTGTATGTCTTTGGGATAAATGAGCCCATTGTCACAGTTTATATATTGCATTTACTTGTATATCCTATCCTACTTTGATATTTGTATTGCAGTGGATTTCAGGGTGTAAATATTTAAACAAAACAAAAAAAAAGTTTTTGCTCAAGCAGTAAGACCTGCATGAAAAAAAACTAGGGGTGCACCAATAAAGATTTTCTTGGCTGATACTGATGGCTGATTATTAACCAGCCATATCAGCCGATACTGATCCAATAGCCAATTTGCAGGAATGCAGCTGGGCAGCTTGGAGACCAGTGTCCAGCTGGTAAGTCTGTGGTGGGGAAGGGGTAGTGGATAGGGAAGGGGCATGGTGTGGGGAGCAGATGGAAGTCCCCACGCAAGTGGGGCAGAGGCAGACACTGCCCAGCCAGGGCAGTGAATGCAATCCTGGGGCTGGGATGGAGCTGTGGGAGGCTTGTTAGGGAGGTTGGGAGGGCTCCCTGCCACTGTGCACACCCCCAGGGGAGGCATGGGGTGCATATGCCCTCCCAGATTTGTGCATGGGGCAAGAGTGGGCTGCCCACTGCAGGCTCAGGGCCAGGGGCTGCGCCAGCCTCTTCCCAGTGTGGGAGCTGGGCCAGGGCTGTGCTTGGAGCAAGCAGGGGTGAGGCAGGCAGTAGCAGTGCTGGGGGAGGAGTGGGTATGGCAAATTTTAGGATAGGTATAGTCCACCCTGTGTCCACCCCTCCTAGTGCTGCTTCCGCTTGCCCCACCCATGCCTGCCCCAGCCCAGGTCCCTGCCAGATGGAGGCTGGCACAGCCCCTCGCCCCAAGCCCGTGATGGGAAGCCCACTCTTGCCCTGTGTACAAATCCAGGGGTGCACATAACCTTCATGCTTCCCCCAGGGATGCACGCAATGGTGGGGAGCCATCCCCACCTCCGCATGCCCCCTGGACAAGCTGTGCGTAGCTCTGTTCCAGCCCCGGGGTTGCATTCACCACCCTGGCTGGGCAGCACCTGCCCCTGCCCCACTCCCTCCCGCATTGTGGCTGCCTCCATCTGCCCCACGCCCTCTTCCCCCCCACAGACTTACCAGCTACACACTGTTCTCCAAGCTGCCTGGCTGCATTCCTGGCTGAGTACATGCTGCAGCTCTGTACATGGATGCAGCATTATCAATGTCGTTATCGGCTACACTGGCCAGAAAAAGCCAATTGCCGATAATGTTAATTTTCTTTTTATTGGTGCCAATCCGATATGCCACCGATATATTGGTGCACCTCTAAAAGAAACAATGCTTAGAAAATGGTCAGACAGGCTTTCCAGGTGAAGATCTACTGTAGATCGGAGAAGCTGTCAACTTTTAAATTGCAAAAGCTATTCCTGCTGTGAGCATCACCTTCTGCATATTTTGAGGCTTATCATAACTAATCAAAGCAAAGAACCAGGTTGCGTGCTCAAATCATAATAATAACTTAGTCATTTGGGTGGCTTAATCCCTGGCACTTCTGCTAGCATTGATAAGAACACCAATTATCATGATAGTTTTTTATCATGCAAAACACCTTTACATGAGGAAATGAGCTCATTTGAACATAAATGTCTGAACAGCTGTCATTGTAGTAATGCTTTCCTGTCACTGTTGAGTTTGGCTTCAGCCATGCTATTTAGAGAAATTGTGCACCCATTTAATTAGTTTCCAAGCTGTCTCATTCCAGTAACACCTCGGGGCTTAACATTTAGAGCCTACTTAATATTTTTATCTTGTATTTCAGTACTGCTATTTCTCAATTCTAGCTGTGAAATAAGTTTAAAATGTAGTGTTCTTTAGTTGTGGTCGTTAGTTAGGTGCCTGAGTGTAAGGCAGGGAGGGAAGTGGCAGGGGAGGATAGGCATGGTGCAAGGTAGGGGCAGAGAGTGGAGGCACACGGGTGGGAGCAGGTAGTGCGGGGCAAAGGGAAAGGGAC